CCCCCCCGCGCTCTCCACGCCTGCCTTGCCTCCAGGCTGAGGGCAAGCCAGAGCTCATCCTAGCCAGGCAAAAAACGAAACAAAACAAAACCCTGGCAAGGTCCCGACCGCGCACCCGGCAGCCCCCCGGGCTCATCATTTACCATGTCAGCCAGCGCTATGTACAGAAACATCCCTCCGGCCAGAGCGAAGATCCAGTTGGCAGAGAAGTGGCTGCCGGCCACGATGCCAAAGGCCAAGCCCACGTAGCAGCAGCAGGCGGAGATGAAGTTGAAGAAGAGCGCCTGGCGGATGGTCATCCCGGCGTTCAGCAGGATGACAAAGTCCCCTGCGGGAGAAGAGGACGGGGAGGATGAGGAGGGAGGGGGCTGTCACTGGGTGGGCAGCAGCACTGGGACAGCACCGAGGTGCTCATATTCAGCGCCTGCTTTTGCATGGGGTCAAGCGTGGGCTCCCCATGGCCGCTGGCGCCGAGCGCTGACCGCAGCAGCTGCCCGCCAGCTCCCGGCCCTGCCCGCGCATAAATTCGGACATTCAGACCCAAACCACTGCCCGCCTCCCGCCTCCCAAACCAACGAGGTGGTGTTTTTTTTTTCCTTCAGATGTCTCCATCTAAATTTAAATCTCAGACATCATATTACCTCGTTATTTTTAGAGCTGTGATTACTCAGTGTAGTTTACAGTCTTGCCTTCCCTTCCATCATTACTCTGTTTATTCCACCCCACATTTGCCTTTCGAGAAACAACGGGTAGGACCAGGAAAGCGGCAGGGTTAGCTTTAAAGAGGGGTGGATCTGAGTGGCCTCGCAGCACCTTTCCCCGAGGACTCACATACCCAGCTCGTGCGGGAACTCCTCGCAGAGGATGGCCACGGAGGTGCTGATCCCTTGGAAGACGGAGACGGTGAAGGAGGCCCCGATGGCCAACCCGTCGATGAAGTTGTGGAGGCCGTCGCTGAGGGTGATCATCCACGCCAGTGTGCCGATGTCGGAGTACCGCACTTCCTTCAGCCAGTAACAGGCGCTCTGGGAGGCCTGCAGGTCCTGCCACGGCACCCCGACGGCGGGGGCTCAGCACCCAGCCGGTCTGGGGGGAGGGTCACCGCTCCCTCCACCGGCCAGGGGAACCCACCCCTCCGTGCATTAAATCCACACAAGGCTTGACCCGAGCAGTTTGCTTTCCACCACCCACGGAGGATTTTGTCAGGAAGGTGTGAGGGGCTTCAAAACGGCTCTTTTTCATTGACAGGCAGGTTTTTTTTTTTCCACGCACCCACCCGCAACCCCACGGGAGGAGGCACTAACCTGGACAGAGAGGGAGCCCACCACAACCTTCTCATCCCCGGAGGGGGTCTTGCACTCCAGCTCGCTGGTTATGTGTGGGATCATGTGGTCCAGGTCCCCATTCTGCAGCTTCTCGGTGACCCCCTCCTCCTGGTCCTTCTTGGACGGCAGAGCCTCAGGGCCATAGTGGCTGTGCCCGTGGTGATGCTGCGGGACAGGGGGGATTCACGGGTGTCAGCCACCCTCGCCATTTCTGCTGTTTCCCACCCGAGCAGCGCTCCGAGCAGCCCTTGCTCAGCCTCACCTGGTCCTTCTGCTTCAGGAGCATCTTCAGGACCTTCTCTGTGAAGAAGAAGAGGTAGAAGCCCCCGAACACCACGGCAGATTTGGAAATGTAATAAGCTTCTTGAGGGTTGAATCCAAATGCCTGCAGGCAAAAGGGGACAAGTGATAGGACTGAGGAACAGTCTCCAGCAGCGTCCTTCGTCTGCCTTTGCCCCTTGCACCTCTGGGGCCACACTGACACTTTCTGACCTCTCTCTAAGCAGCAGCTGCTTTGGGGGCAAGCTCAGAAAATGCCTTCGTGCACCTTTAATCTCCCTCACTCCCCCAGCCAAGCCGGCTGTGCCCCAAGGCGTTGGATCCACCACCCTGCACCAGGGCAGGGATGCTAAAAGCAGGCTTAGAAAGCCTTTGCTGTCTCGGCACAAAGGCAACCGGCCTGCAGGGCTAGAAAGGGCAATAAAATAGCGCTTCTCTGCTTGAAGCAGACCAGAGGTCTCCCTGGAGCGATTCTCTTCCAAAGAGGGGCGAAACGCCAGCTCCGACTGCGATCCCAAGGGGCTTCCAGCCTCCGTACCTCACTCTCGGCTCCCTTCCGACGCCGCCTTCCCCTTCTCCAGCCAGCGAGCGCCCAGAGAGAGAGAAATAGCCCCCGAGAGAGAGAAAAGGACGGACCCGACGGTCCTCACCCTACCTCGGGAATGAGCTGGAAGAGGGCGTTGGAGTAGAGAGTTCCAATCGCCAGAGCTATGAAGTAGAGGAGCAGCCGCTTGTAAAAGGTCTTCTTCATGAAGGGCACCACGCTGGCTCCCACCAGCGAGCAGAGGGAGATGACGGTCACGCAGAGGAAACCGTAACCCCAGACTGCGGCGTGCGTGCCAAACCCACCCCGGGGAATCGGACGAGGGGAGGTTGTCGGAGGGAAAGGAGATCAACGTGGGGAAGGGGAGGGAGGGGAAGGAATCCACGCCGAAATGAAAGAGAGAGGAGGGAGGGAGAAGGGGGGGGAGAGAAGAGGACATTCATTAGTGATTGCTTGTTCATCTGGCATTGGTTCAAGAGGGGCGAACCTGGTGCTGAGTGGCTCTGGAAACAGCTCTTTGGGAAGGGTCGGAGGGAAACCCTGCTGTGGAGCTCGTACCAAACGACCGGGAGAGGAGCCCTCCCTTGGAGCAAGCAGCTCTCTTTTAGCACCGGGATGAAGCTGAGTTTTGGCAGCCAGGCTGTTTCAGAGCCAGCACCCCAGCTCTGCTCCCCGAGCCCCCGTGGGACGTTGGGCAGCCGTTCCAGGGCCACAGAGCACCGAGGTCCCCCGAGCACCTCGTACGCTCCATCCTCGTCCTGCAGCCCGGAGAGATGCGGCTGGTCCCCGCAAGCCGGCTGGGACTGGGATGCTCCGACTGACGGTGAGGGTGGAGCGTACGTAAGTCATTTCAGTTCCTGGCAGATCAGGAAATACAGGCGCTTGGTTTTTATGTTCGGCAAATAAAAGTTGCAGTTCTGGAGTTGAAAAGGAGCCTTGATAAAACATCCCCCTGCCAACACGGATGCGGCGTTTGCTGCCCGAGAGCAAAGCAGACAACACCGGGGGGCAAAACCCGGCGGCAGCAAAGGGTGCTCTGCTCAGAGGGAAGGTTGCAACTTAAATGCAGAGTTTTAAGGCTGGATGTGCAGGAGCTCAGATCCAGCTGGTCTCCTCCCCAGGAGATGGGGAAGGGCTCTGTGAAGCCGCCTGGACCGGGGGGCCAAGGAGACACGCACGTTTCAAAGGTGTCCAATCTGAGAGCGTGCGGGTGTATTTATTCAACTCCAGAACCGTGCAATTACAACACAATTAATTTGCAATGTATCTGTCGGGCCCATCAGAGCACCAGGAAACCTCACGTAAGCACAAATCCTTGTGGGAACATCGGTCTTGTAAATCAGAGAGGGGGGAAAAAAGGCAATTAAAACATTTGTAAAAGCTGGCTGACTGGGGAGGAAGCTGGTGCTTGTCTGGGCTCTTCTCTGTGGTTTTACACCGATATTTCCTCTGCCTCGCAGGTCTTTCCATCCGGCTCACGCCACGAGCACTGCCGCATCTCAGCGGCCTCAGAGCCGGGCAGCTCTGCACGAAGCGGGGCTGAGCACATCCCTCTGAGGGAGAAACTCCCTTGCGAAGCAGACACAGCCCATGGGACAGGAGCGAACGGCTTCTCCCAGCACCTTCCTGGACCTCAGACCTGGCCAGCAGCCTTGCAAGGACCGGCAGGGCCAGAGGGCACAGCCTCCCCACGCTGCCTGCACACTCGAGAGGGTTTCCTGGTGCTCAGAGGGAAAAGAAAAGCCCTGCGGAGCCCCTGAGATAAGCCCTCAGCCTCGGGTGACGGAGGGATCGGTTCGATTCGGCAGGGTGGAGGCAGAGAGGGCGCCCAGAGAGCTGCCCTCGGAGATGGGAGAGAGGCAGGGACTTTCTACCGCACCTCTGGGATGAGCTGGAAGAGCGCGTTAGAGAGCAGCGTGCCGATGGAGAGCGCGATGAAAAACGTGAGGACCCGCCTGAAAAAGGCCTTCTCGGTACACGGTACGATGAAGACTCCGAGCAGGGAGGCCACGTTAATCATCGACACACTGAGAAAACCAAAGCCCCACACTGCGGAACGAGAAGAAACGAGGGCCAGACATTACCGAGGCTCTCGGCGCAGGGAGACGGGGAGGACCCCGAGATCCCGGATCCAGGCAGGAGGAAAAGGCTCGTGCCGGGGCCGGCCTTGCCGCACCGGAGCATCTCTCCTTTTGCTCCGGACGCTTCAACTGCGACACAAACCATCATTTTTGTTGCAGGGCAGGTGGAAATGAAGCCACCAGGTTACTTGGAAGAGGCTTTCCCGAGCCAGCCCCGGCCTCCCGGCGTGGGAGAAGCCAGCGCTGTGCTCAGGGCAGCTGATCCAAGACCTTGGGCATTGTCAGGACCTGGATGCATGGAAGCTCATTTAGCATCCGCTGGTGGCTGGAGGCCAGCGGGTCCCTAAACGTGCCAAGCCACCCCCTCCCACCAACAGGGACTTGCAGCGAGGTCCCCATCATCCAGCTACCCCGGAGAGCCGTGCTGCAGGCACGGCTCTCACCTGCAGTGTGTGCGACTGGGGGCAAAACCACGCTGCGAGCCCACAGCACAAACCACACCGAGGAAAATGTCAGGACTCCCAGCTGCTGTAGGCAAGCTGCCTCCTCTTGTCTCTGCCAGACTCTGCCTGTGTCCCAGAGCTGGGAATGGGAACTGGCTCTCCCGCAGGTCCCAGGGTGCCTCATATCCCTGAGCTCCGTGCCCAGGGCCGGGCAGCGCTTCTGCCCCCTGGTTCCCCGCTTACCTTCGGCCGAGCTGGGTCTGCTCTCCTCCGTCTGCTCATTTTCCTCGTTTTCCAGGTTCTCGGAGGCGCACGCCCCAGACTCCAGCTGCTGCAGGATGGTGGGGCAAAACTCCTTGAACTCGCTGTGCCCCACGGCAGAGCCCTCACTCAGGTTGTGGATGGCAAAAAGCTCGACGGAGCTGAAGCACTGGGGAAGGGAAGAGACAGGCACGTGCCTTGAGACTCCCGCAGCTCTGCGAAGAGGCTTTGGGGGTCTGCAGAGCCCCTGCCTTACCCGGGAGAGGTTCACCCGCTGCTCTGGCGGCTGGGAGACGTTGGCGTGTCCCACTCCCACATCCAGGCGGTTCAGCAGGGCCTTGAGCTGCTTCAGGCTCAGGGTTTCGCTCTCGCTGTATCGCTGAAGGAGATCCTGCAGGAAGGAGGCTGCGGAGAGCGCCGGTCCCGCGGCATCCCTGCCTGCCCAGACCCACGGGCAGGGGAGAAGGCAGAGCAGCATGAGCAGGCAGCAGCCCCGGGGGCCTGCGCTGGGGATCATGGTGTCTCAGGGATGCTGGAAGAGAAGCCACGCGCTGCCGTTAGCTTTAGCATCCCCAGCGGCTCCGACCACCGTGCGACCACTGCTCTTCCACCCCACAGCTCCATCAGGAGGTGGCAGATTTCTTCCCCAGGGAGCCCCACGGCGGGGGGCGGACACAGCTTTGCACAGTGCCGAGAGCACCCACATCCCGAGGGGGGACTCGACATCTTTTCACAAGTGATACAAGACCTGCCGCTTCTCCTCCACCCCGAGCCAAACCCCCGGCACCGCCTCCCCGAGCACCCCGCTCCCCCAGCTCACCACAACCGCGTGCTGAGGGGTGGGGGGCTGCCGGGACACGGCTCCTGGGGGCTCTCCAGCTCCGCAGAACCTCGGGATCCCTGGGGAAGAGCAGCCAGTGGTCGGAAAGCAGGCAGGGCTGCGACGGGGATCCTGCACGTGTGCCGCCACCGGCGGTGCAGCCAGCAAACCCCAGCACAGTTAATACCAAGGCCGGCTGCCAAATTTGGCTCTCCGTGGGGTGAGAAAGTCACGCACCGGCTCCTGGCCACGCTAACACCATGTCGGGTCCCCCTCGTGCCACTGCGGCCGGGACATGCACCCCTTGGGGACCTCTGCCCACCCACGCCGGTATTCGGAGGACACGGGAGCCCAGGGGTCAGAGGTGGCATTTTCATCAGGTTATATTTTAACTACGATAATTACAATGAACCGTGTCCTTCCCAGCTGCAACTGTAGATGCCTTTATAGTGTTTGCCTAGAATCAATCCTTGCCCTCTCCGCTCCTTTCATACAAGCCGGGAATCAATAAAAGCGGGGTGGCAGAGAGCGGGGGGGAGCTGGGGTTGACCCGCCAGCATGCATTGGGTGCAAAGGAAGGGGCTCGGAGAGAGGGTGGGAGGCCAGGCACGACCCACACGTCCACCTTGGGCAGCACCCAAGAGGCTGGAGCGGGGCCCGGGCCGCCTTCCTGGAAAAGCTTCACCGAAAGGTGGACGGCAAATTTGGGATTCACAAGGACAAGCAGAAAATAATTCGCTACCCGCTGCCTCCATACGCCCAGCAGCCGTCCCGTTCCCAGCCCGGAGCTCCGCTCCCCTCCTGGGGGGTTTGGGCACATGCTGCCTTGTGGTTTCCCCTTCCCGGGGGCTCCTCGGGGGAAGCGGTTTGCAGCCCCGGGACGGTTCCTGCACCGTTGTGCACAGGGCCCCATCCAGCCCAGCTCTGCCCCGGCACGGGACTTGCCGCCCCGGCCAAGCCGCGCTCCCGCCGCCCGCTCCCAGCACCCCGCCACGCTCGTCCCGTGCTGACGGCTTGCAGATTTCGGTCTCCTCCAAAAACAAGCCCGAGACATTTTTGAAGCCCGGCCAACCAATTGTTCCGAAAATAACCTGGGGCCGGGTTTGCGAGGCACGGTGCTGCCCGGGGCGACGAGGCCAAACCTGGCAGGACCCCGTCCCCCTCCGAAGGCGCCCACATTCCCACAGGTTTTACAAGCTTACCACCACTTTGCGAGCTTTGTTTGGAGGCCTTAGCCTCCTCCTGCCAGGGCTTAGTTCGGATGCTTTGGCTTAACCCCTCTCCTCCCAAAACGGAGGAGTGAGCTCATCTGGCGAGGTGCTGGTGATGGTTATACCCTGCTTGGTGCGGGTATGTGAGGGACCTCTGCCTCTTCAGCAACCCCCAGCGAGAGCCGGACACCTTCCTCTGCCTCCCCCCTACCCAAATCCACCCTACCAGACGGGTCCTCCCTGGGCAATGCTCCGTCACAGCCCCAGGAGCAGCAACCAGCCCGGGCAGCCACGTGTGACATCTGGGTGGCCGGTGACTCCCACAAGGTACACAGGCACTGGCACACAGCCCACGGTGGCAAAGGCCTGTCCCGGCAGCACCGCATCCCGGGGACGGGGACGTTTGGCTGCCTTTCCCTCTCCGTGCCGGCCAAGCGCTCCCTGCGTCCCTCCGGGAGCCATCCTGCCCGGAGAATGCCGATTATCGCTGGCCCGTGCCAAGGCACACAACCTCTCCAACTGCCAAAATCGCCCCTGGGGTTTCTCCCAAAACCGGGCTGAGCCGGGCGCACCCAGGGTGGAAAACCGGACCTGAACTTTCAGCCAGCTGCCAAACAAAAGGCAGGATGCGGTTTGCAGGCAGAGCCGGGCAGGGGTGTGAATTGCACAGGCTCGCTGCCGTTTTAGGGCAGAAACGAGGTGGAGGAGCCGCCCCTCGGGAAGAGAAGGGCTCAAAGAGGAACAGCCCGGGGGGTCTTGGACCCCCCGAACACCGCAGGGAGCCCCAGGGCAAGGCAGTAGGGTGCCAAACACATCCAAGCCCCCAAATCCCAGGGGCAAAGGGGAGCTGCAGCAAACACCCCGGAGACACAAACCCCTGCTGCCGTCTCTCCATCACTGCCACCGGCTGAGCGGGACCCCCTCAAAGCCCCCCAGCCTCCTGCCCTCTACCTTCAAGGACGTCCTTTCGCCGGCGACGGGACCTGCTCCTGGGGCCCGGGGAGCCGCGGTGCCGTGCACGGCCTGGCGCCTGACCTACTTTATCGCTCGCTGCCGCGCTGGGATGGGGCAGAGGGAACAAACCTCTGCCACGGGGAGGGGATGCCCAGGAGCCGCCTGCCCCGGGCGCCCTATGGGACGTGCCTGGGAGAGATGCCCGGCGGTAACGAGAGCCCAAAGGAGCAGCCGGGGCCAGGCAAAGCCCCTCTTCTTTCCCGTGTCCCTTGGGTTCACTTCCCAGAGCTCATCGATCCTGGTTGCAAACCACCCCCCCTCTGACCGGCAAGGTGACGCCGGCAACAAGAAACGCTGGCAAAGCCGAGCACGGCCCCAGCGACGTCAGGCCCGTGCCAGATGCTTCCCGAAATCCCACACAGGGACGGCTCGCTGTCGCAAACCCGGAGGGGGGCAGCGGGGGCCCCAGAACCCCCGCCGGTCTGCACCCTCCCCTCCTGCCAGGGCGGTTTGCAGCCAGCGGTCCCGACCTCCTTACGGAGCAAAAGCCGCCCCATGCGTCTGGCAGCGAAGGCAGGACCTGCCTGCGGGCAGGGAGGGTTTCCATGCCCTGAGGCATGGCTGCGCCCCGGGGGGACGGCAGCACCGCCCG